CGAGATTCGTAAGCCATGTCCTTCAAGGATTTCAATTCCTGCGCTGGAGTTTTGAGGTTTTCGATTTCTGGGTACCCTCGGATATACTTAGTGCATTATCTATTCCGAATCGTTCATTGAACTGTCTGATCCGAATCGTTTCGTACCAGTCCTACCACTATTGTATATAGTGATTCTCATGTCGGGTTGGACGGCTAGGCGTTTGTTTGAAGGGCATCAAAGGTCGCCACCTAAATTCTTGTCGGCAACACATCAATGATGTAATGTTTCTGCGTGAATAATAAAAAAAAAAAAGTTGATTTATATGACAGTTCGCGTTGACACTTCAACACAGGTTTTCAAAAAACGGATGAGGCGGCAAAAAACAAGTTGAAAAAGTTTAAAAAATTAAAGGATCCGTAAAGCAAGAAAGCAAGATGTAAAACCGGTACAGACATCAGTGGGGGCCCAGTATTACCTACAGTGTGTTACGTTTGGTATCTATTCATGCTGTAACATTCTACATCGAGAGCGGATATCGGTGCAACTGGTACCATACCGTGTATCTTACAAACATACCCGGCACGCGTTTTCTGGGTTGCCACGGATGCCGTGACCTTGGACAATTTCATTAAGTTAAGAACCAAGACTTCTTCTTAAAGAACTTCTTTTACTAAGCGTCTGTTATTTACATATACAGTGGCTAAGTGTATTGTTACGAACGAGATGCTGTAAGGTTTATTAATCTATTATATAATATGTAGAATTGAAATTTTTAGAGCAACGTTTTTCTCTGTAGCGGTTGCTTTGCAATGTTGTTTATCCCACATATCTACAAGTGTTTTTCCCTTTAAAGAAATCAGCTGACCTTTAACATGGAGTCAATTTAAAAAAGGACGATTTTCCGAACGGTGAGAGAGGTTTACTCAAACTATTGTCATCACGTGTATTTTTAATTTCCTGTACCAGTAATTCCTATACCATAGCAAGTCATCTTTATTTTGAAGTGAGAAATTTCCCAAGAACTAAGTAAGAACTATAAATCAATATACAACATTTCTTATATAGATACATACATAATCAAAGAAACGAATATAAATGTGTTTTCCATTATAACCATTTTACTGTGTTGCTTTTGAGCGAAACCCATTTTTCCCAATACAGTAGATCGTAGCACCAAACATTCATGGATCTGTCTGCTCAGTTTGAGTCATAACCACTCTGCAACGCTTAAGCTAGGAGCGCAGTTATAACCCAGCTGCGCTCATAAAAAAGAATAGAAACGTTCTGTTAATGAGCTACAGTTGTACACTAGGGCCAATAAAAGCAGTCGACAAGGATGAATTTTAGTCGCTCCTTATAGATTTACGTAGTTGCTTTGTCGATGACTTCGTCTCGGCCGGAGCGTAAAAATGTGCCTATGTCCTGAAAACTGTTTCTGACAACGCCACGTATGTAGCAGGTCGCACAGTAGCCTAGTGTCAAAGTGAATGTCGTACCTTTCAGGCAGAGTAATTAGCCGTATAACAGTCATATAAGCTGCATGTAAGTTTATCTGACAGTCAATTGGAAGTAATTTTACTTCTCTGATAAAAATAGTAAGAGTTGGCGTCATAGTTGAATAAAATCGACAATAATGGAAATTTTTTAAAAAATAATTAACTGGTGGATAACGAATGTTTAGATTTCTATGTCCAGAACGACGGTTGATATCCGCAAGCTTCGTTTAGCAAAAATTCGAATATTTCTAAGTTCTGTAGATAAAAACGTAAGTGGAGACCGACGTCGGAATCCTATTAGTACTTGAAAATAATATAAGGATTTATTTGTAATGCAATGTTATCTTTTGTCTTAACAGATTATTACCTTTTATACAATGCTCATATTTATATAAATCATGTCTCGATTCGTCAGGCACAATTTGTTCGTTATAAACGATGAACGCATTAAGGTGCAGGAAAATACGCCTTTGTGATTTTTTTATATACCTAAAGATCATTTATATGTGGTTGCATACGAATTTGATAAGAGACCGGCTTTGGTTTATGTATCGATAATAACTGCTGAAAACCCCCAAAGCTTAGCATCTCTCTACGGACGCTAAAGGAAGTCAAAAGACAGAAAAAAAAAAACTCTAAATTTAGATATAGACTTGTAAATTTAGATAAACTTTTTCAATATCTCACCATTTACCAAACGAGGAAAAAACATGAACGTAGAAAGCTCGTTTTGTCATTGAAATTTTTTAAACATACATGTATTTTATATTTATTTATACGTGAAAAACACGATTACTATCGGCTGTGAGCTGCTGGGGAACTCTTAGCTTTTCAATAGGTTTAGCAAGTCGAAATCATATATGCCGCAATCGTTAACCTGCAGTTTGCCTAAACAAAAAATAGGAATGGGGAGGTACGCTTGGTAGGCCTTAGTAAATAGCGATCTTCATGGCATAAAGCGGTCGGTCGCTATACCCAACTTGGAGCTAATGGTAGTTCTAGTAGTTATGCGCCTGCAGGCCTTCATGGTAGAACGGATTCTGGTGGAAATATTAAGCGCGTGTACTACTACACGTGACTCAAGCAGAAGTCTATCACCGGTCAACAGTTGGGCAGCGATTGCGGTAATGAAAAAAATTGTTTGTATTTTAATCAAGGAGATATAGTGCTGCTTATCACTGGAAGAATGGTACCATGTATAGAGACGATAGATATTACGGATGCCTTACAATGCTCGCTGTAGCGGCAGCAGCAAGCCTCAACCCAAAATGGTTATCTCGTCCAAGTTAGTTAGGTGTTGAGGACGAGCATAGGCTACGCCAGAAAATACCGCATATCAGAACGGATATAGTGACGAACGAGAGTCGAATCGTCGTTGCGTCTGCCAGCTTCAAAAGATTTAATAGCTAGACACCCTTTGCATTTTTGGAATGGTAAACATATTTACCTGTAGCGTATACACTGAACCAGAGGAACGTAAAAAAATATATACAGTTTTTTTCAATAATAAAATAATAGATTATTTGACGGCTTTCAACGGCACTGCAACAACCCGTTCCAATCTAGAGAACGTCTAGATGGAGCTAAGCAATATAAAAATACTTTTTTTTTATTTGTGGAAATTGGATTTTGGTGACCATTGCAATTATGATAATAGCAATAGAGCCCAATGTTTTGTGCAAGGCTGTATAATATGTAAAAAAATGTATGTTATTATTTTAAAATTACAATTTTTGGTTATAAAATTAAAATGAAAATATAACTTGATCATGCGCGCCGTTACAAGCTACTAGATACTCTAATACGATTTGCCATTGCATAATAGTAGCAACAAGTACCGGCCCAGGAACTTAGGGGGGCGTGAAGCTACTGGGGTAATGTAGTCACAAAAGACGCCAGTGCAGGTTTCGTACCACCCACATGAGCACCCAGAAGTGAGGCTTGGTATGGTTAAAGGCACTCACGCATAAATCTCATAAGACATAGGGAAACAGTAAGCTGGCAGGGGACCTTAATGGAAGGCTAACTTTAGCAGGAAAACTCGTTGATAAAGATTCGAAGAAGTAATGAGGGCGGGACATGATTTCAACCCGCAGCTACATACTGAGTGAATAGTAGCTAATAGAAGAAAAAGTCAAGAAAATTACATTAATGTCTAAACGAAAACTAAGACTTTTTTTTTTTTGTTTTTCCGTTCGATCATGAGTGGCACTAATGGAACGCATTGACGTGACTGGCGTACTGAGGTGAGCACGAGGTCTATCGAAGCACGAATATCGGATTTTGCAAAGACAAAAATAGTCGAAAGAAATGTACAAGGTTTTTGAACGGGCTAAATTCTACACGTTGTCACGACTCCAAAAGTCCTTCAACTTTTTTCTAGGCCCAGGCTTGAAGGTAAAAGCTTACTTTCTAGAAAGGTTTTCTGACCTCCCCGTTAATTGAGCAACGAAGCGTGTGGGAAACGCCTTCAACCATTGAGGCTGAATCCTACGTTCGGCCCACACAAGGCCTTACCGTCGTAACGTTCGGTCGTAGTACGGAGTGATAAAAACATCACTCAAATTCTTTAAAGAAAATCAAAGAAATAGATATTTCTAGTATGTATCCTGTACATTTAGTAATCATTGTTTTACTTATGGACTCGAAGTCGGTTGGAAGAGGCCTGGCTTCGTGATACGCAGGGGTGCAGAAGGTATGTCACATACTATTGCTGACTTCAAAATGAGATTACAGAAAATTTAGTATTCCATAGAAAGCAGCTATTTATGGAGTGATCATACGATGGCATAATGCTACGTTTCTCACTATTGGTCTCTATGATATGCTTTGCGACGCACTGAGTTTGTCAGTGTATCTATTTACCTATTTAATTTATATACTATATACATCCAAGTCTGCTGTATTCAACTGAATTGGTCCAGCGAAGACGTTTCGATAGACAATCGAAGGCCGACAAAAATCGTTGCACCTTTCGTTCACTACTCAGGTTGAGTATGAATAATATAATAGTTATTTATAGCAGCATAACTGAGGCACATTTTTTCACTAGCTTGCATATGCGGCCTTAGAAATGAACGGTCCTAAAAATAAGCTTCTCGGCTCTGTTTACCTTCTGCTTGTCACGCTTGCCGACATTAGAAGACACCACCGAAGCACTTCCCCAAATGCATCTTGAATATGTCATCGTCAAACATAATAGTCACAGAAAATCAGAATACATAAAATTATTTGAGAGAGAATTTCTTCAATAATTTTGAAATAGGTAAGATGCAGCGTCCATGAAAAAGTGCTCGCTAGCCACTTAAACTGTTCTGCCGTTGTAACTTTGTTTCAAAGCCCGCTACCCGCTTCGTTTATGAGAATGTCGAGGGTTTAACATATCTCGTGAGACTTAAAGCTACCCCCTGTTTAGAGTAGTTGCAATAGAATATTCAAGAAGCGAGAACACGAGTATCAGACTTAAGCGACGAATAAATGGTCCATGATAAAACGCAGAGTTTAACACCCAGGGGGTTTTTAATCATTAGGGAGAAACGAAGTTACATTGTTACGTGATGGCTTAGTGGGTAACCTATTTGCCTGCTAACTTTAGGGACACGTTGTGGTCTCATTTCGAACCCGGACGTACAAAGACTTCGTCTCGTGTTGTGAGCCCAGCTGTCTGACGGAACGCCTAACGGCGATACCGGACGTAAAAACTCAAAACACAAAGGTATGGATATGGGAGTTAAGGCTCCTCTATGAGTACATTGAACTATTTCTAAGAAGCTTGTTGATGGATTCGCATTTGCTTGAAATGCGGATCGTTCGTTGTGCTGCCTCTGCTAGAAGTCTTCCTACCTCCAAATAGTCTGTCAAAAAGGTCGTGTTCATTCCAAGTACACATGCGTCTACAAGATTCCTCTATGGCTTTGTTTATCATCGATACATTCATTGACTGATTTCTTTGCATTTGTTTTATTTAGTGTCATCTTTAGCTGTCAGTACTTAAAAAGTACATCCGTCCTACAGAACAATTTTACCGAAATTGTACTCTATACAGTTTGGCTAAGGCCGCCATTGGGTTAAAGGCTGCGCTTTTGGCAAATTCAGTCAGCTGCAAAACTATAAACCGAAGGCATTTTTAAATAGGCCAATAATTTAGAGGCTAATTAAAATAGGAGACATGAATAAAAGAGATACAAAGTGTCTTAATAGCTTTGATCCGGCAATACTGTATTGTATCAACCTCTATATACTGAGTGTTTGACCGTTACCAGCAGATTTATAGAAATTTAATTTCAACATAAGAAATATATCTCGGTTTGTCGAGAAGAGGAAGAACTGAATGTGTCCAGCTCTGTGGTGACAAACATTATGAGTGGTATAACTTTTTCTATGAGAGAATTGACCGTTTCTTGATTTTCAAAAAAGTAAACCTTAGAACAGCAAGTAGGCGATACGCAATTGATATGGACATGTTAAGTTTGAAGAGTATTTGGGAAAGTCGGCCGCACCAATTTAGTGAGTATGGTGATAAAATGCTTTAACTTAAGAAAAAATAAGGAAGTTAAGTAATGCAGTTTCGAAACGAGAACAAAAGTGGCAATCAGTGTTACAATAGATAAAAACTAATATTTTCTGGTGCATATCAACTGTGATAGAACTCCGAAACAACCAATACCTACTACAGAAAATATTGATTGGCATCTCCATTTCCGTTGACACATGAGCACTGCGAAGAGCACCCATTCGGGACGGTACATAGGTACAGAGGTAGAGGTTGCCACCCTATTGTAGGTACCGGCTACGTTTTCCGTATGATACCTATCGCTATCATTGTAGCACTCCCCCCGGAGAAGGCCTACTTCCAAAGCCCGCCGCTTTCGCTTGAACGCTAACACCCTATCTGTTATGATTTTATCGAAACAAGCTCCTCAGACTCGACGGCTTCATCAACATACTGAATCATCGGCTCTCTACCTCATAAATAATTATGTTGATACTGAGATCGTACTTCAGCTACCAACCTATTTTTTCTCCAAACCAAAAGCCAATTTGCGTATAACGGTAAAATTATATTGTAGGTGTTTAACCCCACATCCCTGCATGGTAGAAATATTGTTTCACTTAGATCATAAAAGAGCATCCCATGATATATGCAATGAAGTATTAATCAATCAGCGTTGTAACGAATGAGGTCATTCTATCACGAAAATAGATCTGCCGTAGCCATCTGAGTTTGACATGGGAACTTAGAATCAGGTAAGTTCTAAGTTCCCATGACAAACTAAGATGGCTACGGCAGATCTATATATAATATATATATACTTATATAATAATATATTCAACTAATTTCTGTACTGTATCATATTGTTTCTAGCTGAATGCGCCACCCAGAGGGTTTAGGGGGCATTTCACATTTTCAGGCAATTATATTAGAAGCAAAGCTCGTACTCGGCTGATTACAAAAATATCCGAATTTCAGTGAAAGCTTATTAAAAGTCCACCTTTTTACCTTATTCTGGCCTAATCATGGCCAAATGTAATATCCCTACAGATTACCCTGCACAAAAATTACAAATCAAAATGCATGGTTAACGCTGGCGTCTTGTTTTAAACCATTTTGTATCTAAGCGTGTAAGATTCGAGGACGCATCCGTGCAAGTGATCTCTTTGCAAAAGGCCGCCGTAGACGGCCAAATCACGCATTTATGGCACTGCGAAAAAAACCGTAGCCCTACAGTCAGAAGCGATATGATACACGTTCGAAGATTCTCAATCAATCAATCAATCAATCAAACTCATTGATTCATTTTCGTTAGGTAATATTATTGAAACGTTAGAAAACACTAGTTCACATACGCTACATAAGCCATATTGGAACGGCAGATAAAGGTCGATACATAATTTCAACCTAATACGGGACTCCTTATTAGAAAAATCTGCATAGATTAACCTACGCGTCTGCGAAAGGGGGAATTCTAGTGTATACTTGCTTTTTGGGTATAAGCTGTAGCCATAGCGACATGTAATGTGTTTGCTACAAATTTTTCTTTATCAACTGGCCGAAGAAAAACATCAAATCGAGCTTACTAAGCTATACGGTTGGTTTCTTTTTTTTGCAGACTTCAGCTATGCTGTTGCCATTAGATCTCGATGAAGTGTTGCCTAAAAAGTGCTCATGCCATTGTACCTCTCTTTCGCTCCCATTAATAAGCAATTAATGGCATTACCCTACTGTAAACAAACATGATCTTAGTTGCACGCCTAATAGACTGTTTCACAGACGGACGGACATCAAGGATCTCTGTACTGAGACTAGCGTACTTAATCCCACGTTAGTTCTAAATAATAAAAATTAGATTATCTAGGTACATCGTGCTTTAAGTGTAGATAATTGATTTAGAATTAATCTTTGTCTGCGACGATTTTACTATTGAAGGCAATGAATATTTCGGTTTACACTGAAAATATCATTTGTATACTGTATAATTTTTCGACAAGCCAGCACATTAGTACTATTATAAATGAAAATTTTTTTGTTTTAAAGTAATATTCGTAAACTATTTATGCGCCAGCTTCGCTGAAAACCTTACATTGTTTCTCTAGTAGCGCCACAACCCCATAACTGTTGAAGTTCTGTGATCTCTGGGTAAAAAGCTGGGACAAATAATTTTTGCGTTCTTTCGATAAAGTGAAACTAACACCATTAACGAAATTCTGCATAGACCGGAACAAATGATAGTCTTATAATGTAACATCCGAACGATGTGGCCTATGCATTGAAATTTCTTAAGTTCCCTTCACTTTTGCCGCGCAGCTAAAGATGTGCGTGGTCTGGCTTTGCCCTAATGAAAAGTGACGCCCTTTATATTCATTAGATCCGGTCGATTTTTATCAATCTTCTTGTTAGCTGTTGATAGTAAGTGTCTGAATTAATTGTTCTGCCATGACCATGTTTTTCCAGTCTCACCAAACATATATATATAGCCAGATACATGTATATATATATATACACGTCTGGTTATATAGCTAGCCTTCGTGAGGGTCAGTCTAGATTTGGCGGAAATTGTAGAACACATTTTTTCTTTTTTTTTATGCTTTGCTCATGTATCTGACCGTTTTTTCGTCATCAGCAATCAACCCGTTTAAGGATAACCTGATTTCATTTCCATAAACTCTCGCAGATGCAACCACGATCTAGTGGTTGTAGCAATAAGTTTCTTTATAGCCAGCTTTTAACTGGTTTACCTTACCTAACTTTCATCAACTTTTCCCATAGTTGGTCGAGAAATAACCACGAGGAACCTGTTTCACATGGAAATGCCCAGAACGAAACTGACAGACGCCCTGTAGCACATCTGCACCAGAAACACCAGAATTTTGTTATGGACCTGAGCAGCATTTCTGTTTGGGTCATGACGCAATTATAAAGTAGGTAGAACTCAGTTCATCTTCAAGGCATTCTATCTTAGGTCTAAATAGAATTATTTCAACAACGCTAGCATACCTACTGCTAATATTCAAGCAATCAAATGGTGCAAACGGCTTACATCACCTGAGATATATGTCACATGAATTCCATCTAGGTTGAAAGATGGCCAATACTTTTTTGACAACTTGTCAACGATCTGAATAAAAGCTAGAATGAATAGGGGTTCCTCAACTAGCGGTTGCATCGTCACTCGGAATACACTAAATATATGATGCATATGTATGTTTACATATATGCTCAGCTATATAAGTGTACAGTTTTGCGCGACCTAATGTGGAAAAACCCGTGAGATATACGAATATATACGGAATTTAAGTTTTTTTTTTTTTGTATTTACCTAATTTGGTTACAGAATTTTAAAAACCTTTATACTATTTGGGAGTGGGGTCTGTTTGTCTTCAAATGGTTTACATGGAACATTAAAACACCTCTGTTTCGAGTTGTACGTCGTTAGGCCTCCAGCGAAAAACCAAGTCCGTCTTGCCTTGATTATTCGAATCTAAATTGCAACATGCTTCTGCTATAAGCAGACAAATACATTATCCGCTAACCCATCACGGGGAACCATAATATCACACTAGCTACTCTAATGAATGGATTTCTCGTGTTTATTTTGCCGTTTCGTTTAAAAGCTTTATACAATCCTTACAGATATTCGAGATCTTTTCATGCGCCGGATGCCATGTTTTATTCAATAAAATCACGTAGAATTATTTCGAAAGGCTGTCAGTCAGATATTTCGAATTTCGGTCTCAGCCATTGGGCGCTTATTGTATTAGCGGCTTTTTCAAGGATATACATGATTCTAAGTCTTCGTCGACCTCCTGTGGTCCATGGCTCTTTCTAGCTTCAATAAAGCGGGCATAGGTCTCGTAAAAATAATAACTTAAGTACTCGTCGAGCTGTCCATCAGATAACGTTTCAGTAATTGAATATTACTGTAAATAATTCGTACAAGTTAAGTATACTATCAGCCACAGTGGCCATTTTCATTAAATCGGCACTGTTAAACTGAATATGGCATTGTCATGTATTGCTTAGGATAGCAAAGTTTAAGTAGACGTGTAGTAAAAAAGGAAGCACTCTTTAAAGGTACCTTATTTTTGTTCAGTTATAATACTCGAGTGGCAAATAACCAAGGTAAAAAAAATCCGAATTGGTTCTTGTAATTCAGCAGCTGTATACTTGCACAAGCCATAGCTCGTCCAAAAGCTAGACCGTTCGTTTTAGTTTGAGTTCGCTAATCAATAGCTAATTTGGACTTTTTTTTTTTGACCTCGTTATTTAATAAGTTGTCGGAGGTACGTTCAGCGTTAAACGTGCGTTACTGCGCACACAAGTCCGCTAATAGCAGAACAACGTTCTGGTAACGTCATCTTTCGAGAAAACCGAGTCCACAGCGCTCCACACCTTCTTCTTGAAGCCTAATCCCCTTCCATTCTATCTACTAAGTTTGTTGCGCCAGAGATATTTACAAGTGGAATGTTTGCTTCCCCACTTGCACAGGCCGCAAAGCAAAGTTACTTCAAATTTGAAACATCACTCAGCTTGCTTGACTTCAGATGCCGCGAATGAAAAGCCCGTTGAAGTCGCAACGTGAGTTGTCCTACATGAAGCCAAACCAAGGGAAGCCTCACGATAAGTTCGAGGACGAATGCTCTGAAACGCAATTCGACGGTTCCGGCGAGGTCGCCACACCGACAGACCTTTGGTGGCTGCGCGGATGAATCGAGGGCCGGCGGGTCCTGTGCCGACATCTTTAGAAAAATACAAAGCATGCAAAAATGTGCAGAAAGGAGCGAGAGCGGAAAGGGTTCCCAAAAGATCTTTTCTTTTTTCGCAACGTGTAGACGTCTAGCGTCTCGAGTACACTTCTCTTGGCGACGCGAAATCGCTCTCTCTTTCGCTCTTCTTTTTTCTTACTGTCGTTCGGTGAACTCGGCGTCGGAGTCGACGCCGGCGACGATAGCAACTTTTAAAGAAGTTGCGTAAGCGCCAAAGGCTGACTGACGACAGAACGTTATCGCAACGGCCTGGAACAGCGTTTAACTAAGCAGACGAAGTTGAAGAAGGAGTAGCGGAGTCAAGAGCTCCTTCATATGCCTTTGGAGCAGTAAGGACATGAATTCGCGAAAAGAAGGCGACTGCGTGGAAAACACGAAGAAGGAAAAGAGACAGACGGTTCGCTGCCATCTGTGCCGTCGTCCACTCTCCAGCCACTGGCGTCTGATTCCGCTTTTCAAAGTCCAAATGCGGCCCTCAACTAACGGGGCAGGACGGGGCGAATGCGACAAAACGACAGGGAACAAAAGTAGCAAAGTTTTAGCAGACGGATCGTAGTTATCTGACCTCTTTTACGTAAAAAAAGCAGAGGGTCGAACGAAAAACGAATAGCTTTGTCGCTAAGGGACTTAAACACGAAGGTCAAATGTGATATATGCCATATACGTAATTATGACCATAAATGAGCAAATGGTACTTCTTGTCTAAGTGTTTTTTCAAAATTATTCATTAGCATTTGGTTAAAAAGGCCTGGAATTATCATTGTAGTTCTGAAAGGAGACTTTAGAGATAGGTATGCAAGTGGGGATGGGCATCAAAAGTGGCACGTTAAACAGCTCGGAAGCCCAAAACGGGTTTTTTTTTCTTGAGACGGGCAAGTGATATATTTGATTTTTTCAGACGTAGGGCTGATTTTAAGATGAGACACTCAATATATCAATGATGTCTCGTTGTTATGCCGTTCTATACTTAGGACACGGTTGTGACCGGCTTTCGTAGTCATCGCGTAAACTCGGGACAGGCTGCTGGACCGTTAATGACTTGAAATGAGTATTGATGAGTAACTTGCTACAGGGCTGACCTCTGGTGGATTTAACTAGAGATACGATGTTTTTAGGGGTCTTCTTGACTTTACAAACAGCCTGTTTAACTTCGAAACTGTCCAGTGGCGTTGTTCTGATTCATCCGCACAATAACTGAATGCATCACTACTCCGTTAAGTACAGCTTTCGTGAAGTTAAAGGGCAATTTCGTTAAACCTGAACACTGCATAGCGAAAGCAAAGGTATACTATTTATACTTTAATGTTAATGAGATCTTCGGACGTGACTCCCACAAGGGCTGTAACAACAACCTTCAAAACTAGGCCCTGCTCACACGTGGATACCAGTGACTGGTCGAGTTTTTTGGTCGGAATATCATAGGTACACCCGCTGATTAGATTAGCGATTAGAAATGATGACGCTAAGCTAAATATGTACTTCCATCTGCATTTACGTGCCATATGGTAACACGTCACAAGCTCAGTGGGTAAGCACGTTACCACACAACTATCAATGAGACAGCGTATCTATTGCATTGAAACACGTCTTAAAAGCAGTCTGATGCTTCATATTTCCCTACTCATATACGCTTACATTCGAACGTTATAGGAGTGGGCGTCTTACACCGGAGCCAGTGCCCACAACTGACCATCATCACGCATCTGGGTACAATATGGCCACCGAGAGCAATCTCTTCATTCGATTGTTCTAAAATCTTACCTGTCGGTCCTTTCGTTACGAGCAAATGCAAACTTGCTATCATCGTTTTGGCTGCTGCAGGGTAAACACATGTATCCATGATACACTATACTACGACAACGAATAAGACGGCATATGTTCTTTTTACTGCTAGCTACATATGACACTTCCATAGGACTACCTATTTAAAGAGGCTTGTTTACCAGTATTAAGGTTTTCGATATTCGTATATACTGTGCAGTAAAGAAATAGAAAGATCTACCTAGAAACATGCATTGGTTTTATATGTGTACAAAAATAAAACTTCGTAAATAGATGAAATCAGACGACTGTGAGTGAAACATGGCCACTTGAATTTTTCTATAGATAGACGGCTTTTTTTTTTCTATTACCAACTTACCTCTGAGAGAATTTTCCTTATTATATAACCTAGCCATTAGACACTAGGAAACTGAGGTCGTGTCAGCAACATATGTACTAATTCTTAACGATAATATATATAATTAGTAAAGGTGAATCTTTTATAACGGCAAGAGATTGCTTCATGAGCACCATTGCGAAATACACCGATGTCATAGTTCAAGCTTGCACTAAAAAATCATGATCAATCAAAAATGTCCCCCGGTGTAGGCCGTCGTAAAGAGGCCTACTGAAAATTTTTCAGGTCGAACCTGCACTTTGCTAGAATAAATCACTAAGCTCGTGACAATAAGGATGCTTTTCTAGTACGTACTCAGCTAGCGGATATTTCCAGCCATCGGATCGAGAATATCAGTCCTGCCGCTATGAAAACATAGTAATTACCGACAATCATATTGACATTGTGCAGAGAAGATTGCAAGATCTTGCAGTAAGAGAAATCGTGACCGAGTTTAGAAGTCTGGCGGTATTCCCACTGCACTTCGATATTTGCCTGCTTTATCCAGTGGTCACCTCTCAATTTCAGGAGACCAGAAACACTGTGAGATCTTATAAACCAATTTTTCAGTAGACGGACCACTTTTTTTTTGACTGCTAGCTGTCGGCAAATGTATTATATTAACGTTTAATCAATTTCGGTCGCAGACTTTTAATTTCCTATTTATATATTTTAAAAAGTTATCGAACTACTGCATCTTTACGTATGAACGACGTATCTCCACATAATCAAAATCGAGTTTATTATAACAACGATAGCAGTGGGGCTACGGCTTGTGGCGTTGTCCAATCCAAAGATAGACCCAGCTGGCTTAATTAATAAAAACTGTTTGTTTGGATGTTTAATAGTTGGTTTTTTTGGTCGTTTCTAAATTTTTCAAACAACAATTTTTTAAATCTCTCTAAAACGATTAACATATCTGCGCGTCAAGTGATGCTTTACATCCACCAAGACAGCGCGTTGCTCATAACCGCGTGTATGTATGTTTTTCTATGGAAAAGTTTTGAAGGTACCTCAATCGTACATTGTTTGTTTATCTGTTGTATTGAAGGTCGCTACTGGAAAATTCACTACGAAACACGTGCTATCACGATGTTTCGACGATGTCACGACGAATTTTCGATACATACATGAGACGTTTATGAGCAGAATAGTTGAAAGATTCGAGCAGCCTGGCTGGCATGTCATCGAAATGTGTTCGTCTGGACCGTTCAACGAAAAACATCATGGCTGCTCTCCAGACTATGGTCATGTCCGGGAATATTTGTTCCGGGTATCTGCTCAAAACTGTGACATCTTAGGAACCATGATACGACGTATCCTCAAAGATTCGCATCATAGTGCATACAGAATGCAGCTGACTTGGAAAATCCAACTCCGCCGACGATGTGCAGCGAAGAAGGCCTGCCAATTGGGTAATGACAATAGGCGGTCAATTAATTTTTCAATGAAGTCATCTTCAACGACAGGGTCCATTTCGATTGTGATGGTTTTGTAAGCAAACAAAACTGTCACATTTGAGGGAAGGAAAAGCCACGTGTGTTCCACGGAGAAAGAATCGATTGTATTCAAGTCACCCCTCGGTGAGGATTTTGGGCTGGAGATAGCATTGGATCATTTGTCCTCGAGAACGCTCCCGAAAATACACGAACACCCAATGATGGCCGGTATTGAAGCGTGATAACTCAGGATTTTCAGCTCCAAATCGATGTTATAAATCTCGGAGGCATGTGGTTCCAATAGGAAGTATTCGTTTGTCACGCATCACGTGCAACCCAATCGTTGCACGAGATACTCTGTGATCACACAATCTGCCATTTAGGTGATTCTCATTATTTAGCATTTTCTCTGCACGTTTAGTTGAAAAATCTCTTTAAAAAATATATATCATATAAATTATATCTTATGATAACACAGACAGAATATCGGTGTGAGGCATGAACGAAAAGCCACGCCTTATTTACAACTCGGAATCTTCACTTGTTAGGTAACGCTCGATGTAGGAGCTGAGATAAACTACAGTTTTGACAGCCATCGGAATATACAGAATATAGGGTATAGCTCAGGACGCTTCAATTCGAATGCTTGAAATTACGTGTGAAGATTTTCAAAATGAAATTTGACAATGTACTTATCCCTTGGACATGTTTCTACGATGCAGCCTTCGTAGCCTTTTTTTTTTTTATACGAGTAGACTCATATTCTTCTAACTGCCCTTGACCCGTGAAGTTTTTTTTTTTTTTATACGAGTAGACTCATATTCTTCTAACTGCCCTTGACCCGTGAAGTTTTTTTTTTTTTTTTTGAAAGGCTCATCTGCGTGATTCTTACAGGTATATAGTGTGTGGGACGCAATTTTCGTCAATGTTGTCGCTCACAATCGTCAATCTGTTATGTTCTTTATAATCCAAGACTTCAATCGACAGAGCAACGAATTAAGCCGACGTAGTATTAAGATAGAACAACTGAAAAATTACTTCTCCAAAAAAAAAAAACAAAGTACTTACGGTATTAAAATAGTGACTTTAGAAATGTATTTCCAGAATATGAATAGAGGTACAGCAGCTTAGGGTGACCAAAAAGGCCATGAAATTATTCAAGTAGTGATGTCGTGTGTTGTCACGATCGAGTCTTATTTATTAGAACATGACTACGACTCGCTATCCGGGTGGCGAAGGCAACCAACTGGACCTGAGGCAATTACAGGTCAGACTTGCCAACTAGAGATCACCCGAAATGTATTGCAGGTCTGACTTCTGGTGAACTGGACCGAAGACATGAGGTAACTCTTCGATTAAATTGTCTCACAATTAGGGGCTAACTTACCCGCCTGACAACTGATAGCTTTGCTAACATATTAAATTTTGTCTTCTTTGTGATCTTGTCAAATTCGAAAGACGCTTATTGGAAACAGGAGCGCACTCCTCAATGAGATCCACGGAAGTGACTTCGTGAATAGGTGCAACGGTAATCTTTGGGTCGAGCTCTTCCTCGTTACAAGATGCCATTAGCTAGCTGCGTCCTTTGGCGTATTCAGTAATTCCATACGAAAACGCGTTGCTAAAATCAAAGAACGCGAAAATAGCGCTGGCAGGGTAGATAAGTAGGACAGGCCTGAATCCGTTCATTACTATAGTCGTTGACCTATGTGTACTGTTTTCGTGATCAGTCAAGGTAATGTTGACTCATTTCCATTAGGTCATCGATGCTAGCTACCTTTCCGTGATGTTTAAATGTATATACTGTTCAGAAGTCGTCTGAGTATTTGTTGAATGTTGTTGTTGTTGTTATATTGTTGTTTACATAATGTCACACAAACAGGGACAGGCGTATTGTTTATTAAGGACGTGTACGAACTGATCTGGAATCGACACGACGTCCGATACCGGTCAAAGCTTTACAAATAAGCTCCCCATTGATCGAAAAATGATAGATTAGTTACTTTCAATTAGCTATCGGTTAATTTGCTCATACATACTATGCCGTTTTATAAGATTACTGTTATCAGTTTTTATGTCACCCATTATTATTAACATATATGACTAAGGTAGAACTTCTCGTTGAGGTTGAACGATTTACTAACACAATCCGCTTGTATATCAAGCCAGCAGAAAAAATTATCTTCTCACATAGTATAATAGTACATGATACTGTACCGGTTGAGTAAACGTCTTTAATAAAGGTAAAACTTCGAGAATTTCTTTGCAAAGTAAGTATGTGAACTTACGGCGGACAGGCCTCTCAAAAGCTAAGCATGCATAAAAAGGTAAACGCAAGCGACTAATAATATTTTCATTCGTATACGAATTGGTTCCTTTACTACCAACCTCTCGTAGCCAAGGTAAGATGAGAGATGTTCATTGGTGTTGATGTTCTGCGGCCGGGTAGTAGGTGGTTGGGCCTAATAATCAAGCATAGATCTATGGGAAGTGACGAATGACTTGAGCCTGAAAGTCTTGAGCGAAATTCCCAATTCTGGCCACTGGGACCACCACAATTAGGACCAAGTCTATAAATGGCTGTATTTGGATTGGACCGAAAAGCTGCAAACTGCTAAATTAGTCTGTTAAGTGAGTAGCTAGGCCCGTACGTGGGAAGGATGTGGTACATTTCAGTTCATCTCATACCTAATTACGATCGTTCATTTTTTCAACGTCTCTGCAGTATTCTCTATTGTTGGATTAAGAATGCCCAATTTGTTGCTACGGACGGTAAAATAATTGCGGATAGTACCGTCAAACTTCAGCTGTACGTAGTTGGAGGATTTGGTAAGATTCCCAAATAATCGTTCGATGTTATTTAGCCAAAATTCGATCCTATTCGTCTGTTGTCCACAAGTCTACTATCTCATCCATTAATTAGTATATCTTATAGTCGCAATGTCCCAGGTTTGTATAGACATATTGCAGAAAGCTATTGAACTATTGTGTGTCTGATTATTTTGTTTGAATTCACTACACCGTACACAGTTGGCAGAGATAGAGTGGACGTAATTCATTGCCAGGGAAAAGGATCTATCTGGCTCCTTTAATAATATCGGTTTGTTTTATGGTCTACCTAGCGATTGTTAGGCTCTCGTAAAGCTACGGGGCCTTAACGAGGTAAATGGGCGCTTGGGGTGACCAGAAACGCCTCGTTGTTAGTAATTACATAATCGCGCAGCTTTTCTCAGAAGGGCTTCAAAAGTCCGTATAGACAGCTGGTTATTATTGTAGATTGCTGCTGGAGAACTTAGCACGTCATAAGTTAAGAGCAGCAATAATTGTTTGACCAGTTACCTTTCGTTCATAATATAACTACCTATATTGCGTGTACTGTTGGCTTACCCCGAACTAACTAGTAGTATAAACGAGGGCGCGTTTATACATGCGCATTCGACAACTTCAAGTCGCTGGCTAAATTTTTACTCGTATGTAGAAATAGAAATAATAATTTATTCTTATTAATAAATTTGCAAACACTAAAAGGCGTCCATTTACGCGATCGGTAAAGTATCAATACAATTTTAAGTAAATTTTTCTCATTTAGTTAGTATTTTTCATTCTCTAACAGTCGCCTATCAGCTAATTTTTTTAAATGACGAATTGTTATATATACAGAATATAAATCTTATAAGATGTCCTTCTTCGTGTTTGGGAACGGACAGTATTAACGACGACTAGTAATTAATTAAATTAAAAAATAAATAAACCAGTTTATTTGATATACATCACTAAATACCGCACGAAGGCTGCATGGACCCGCTGATGACGAAGAGTCGCGGTATCACTTCAGTTGTATCGTTATCGATAAAAACATCTTCACTATAATACAGTTTTGTACATGCGCTTGAAGGCTGCTTGAAGTACGTACGCACGATCCTGCTATGCGATACTGCGAAATCTCCTGACGTTCCTGTCAGCAATCACCCGTCGCCATCTTCTACACATATCTTTTTACGCTTTGTCCTGCTTGGGTGTCCTTATATGCAAGAAAAAAAAAACTTTAAAGGAGGCTGATTACCGCAGGCTCCTTTGAACGTGTAAGACTGTTAGTTCATATAGAAATATGCAAAACATAGATTTATATTCGCTTTCACTTTTGTGCCACTGATTTTATGGCTGGAATAGAAAAACGAAGTTACTGCGTGCATTTGTGTTCGAATGTACGATGCTAGACACCAACTATCGATATTATCGTGTATCTTAGAAACGACCTACAACCAAGTGCAAGCAAAACCGAAGCCGCCATTCGAGAAAATCGCTTTATGGATAGCTTAGTGGATAACGTATCTACCTGCTAATCCTAAGGACACCTTGTCGTCTAGATTCGAACGTGGAAATATTAATACTTAATTTTACCCTGGCAGGAGCCAGCTTTCTGGTAGCACGTCCGACGGCGATGCCACCCGTAAAACTCGAAATATAGAAGACTTAATGATGTCAGGAAGATCGCTTCTAGTATCTCCCCAAGACCTCCTTTAATCCATAGTTACCAACTAGAGTTACGCTACCTGAAGCCGTGTTCCTTTCGTAATACTGCAGTCAAAATCTTTATTAGTTGAAAAATTACCTATTTTTACTGCCCTCAAACGTCACTCAAAAATATTGCTTAGATATGAAATCGACTATGAGATAACGCAGACAGATGTGCGACCGATTAGTGAAAGCCCCCGGCGTAATCTTTGGCACTTTCAGATATTCAGTCTTTCGGAGCGTTGCTGCTATAACTGGGATCCCGCGTTTGGCCCGATGATACCCATACGTAGCTCTCTGGCGTTTTGCCATATAGTCTGTAGCTAGTCTGTAATCAGATAAAACATTTTTTACCGTCAGCACAGTAACGTCTTGATCGAAAGCTGTCTGCTGCACCTCAAACCACGCCAGAACTGTTAATCTCAAAGCGCATACCTCGCTGTATGTAAAATTTTATATCGTCCCACTAAAAAGTTTTTAAGTCCTAGTAACTCATTAACATTAGCTCGCACACACGGTTTTTTCCCAACTACAGCTTCCCCGAACTAGATACATTGTCGATACGCTCACAAATAAATCCCAAGCTCTTTCTTCGCTTCGAGCAACTCATTAGCCTTCAATTATCCACCGCTAGAGAGGCGTCAAGCACGGCTAAATCGAACTTGAAATGAGCGAACCATCGACATCGGCAGCACAACCGACTTCTTCCATCCAACCGATCCTTTCTTTCCCGTTGACAAGTCCAAAGCTTAACCTTTACCGTTCATAAAGGCAGCCATTTAGGTT